TACTTAAAGTTGGCGAGTAACATAATTGTTTCGTTGAGTAAAAATGTGGAAGTGTCCACAAGTTCGCCAGACGAAACAAGCCAGCGTTGGTGAATCCTGGGCGAGATCGGAGTACACCCATGTACTATCACGTAGTTTTTAAGGCTAATAAGGTTAACCCTACCAGCTACGAGCTTCCAGGCCCGGTTCCTTAATAGAGGAGAGGGAAGTCATGAGAAGGCCAGAGTAGAAGGAAGAGTGTATTCTGTACAGAGGATTGGAAAATAGATCGGATAAAGTTTTGGCTGTTGGAGCGCACGTCCAGCCGCGAGGTGGACTAGGTCCGAAATGATGTCTGGGGGCAGACATACAAGCGGCCACCGTTAGCTGTCTTTGCCTTATGCAGCCTTGAAGGTCATTGGTTGGACCGCGCGAGGTTACGCAACGACGTGGGCGTGTTAGTAGGTCGCGCCGGACAATGAGCGAAAGGTGAACAGGACAGTCATCGCGACTACAGCCTTGGCGTGATGAGTGAGCAATCACGGGTTCCCACAGTGGGCACTCGCGGCCACAACAAATCCTCCTGCATTATGCCTGCTTCAAACAGTCACCTACTAAGTGTGAACTGCGCGATTAACGCTGGGAACTAGGAGCCTTAAAGTCATGAAATGTTCGGAAAAAAACTAGATAATTATCTGAACTTCTAACTGGTGCCCGGAAATGTAGAGAGGCAGAAATTAATTTCTGTTTATATAACATACTAATGCCAGATCTTTGGAAGTGCATATTGCCCGTTGTCTGCCGAGATTGAGTAAATGCATATAGAGCCTGCATAACAAAATAAACAGATTACAATTAGAGGGTGCACAAGTGTTCCAGAGATTGCCAAAACAATACCGCCAGTGTACAATTTAGCTCATAGGTTCTCGATTTGTAAAATCACATAGCTATTCTCGACCTGTATACTGTTAAACCGAAAGGACGCGGCTTGGCTTAGCACAGCACTGATTGTGCAGCCATAATTCGCAGACAGAATCCTGACCTTAAAAGAAACTAATAATGATTTCCAGGGTGCCATTGGATGCATGCTTTACATCTGAACTGTCAAATTAGTGATATCGATTCGCCAGCAGACTGTATCCTAAAGGATTTGCACTGTAATCACATTCGCCAGTGTGATCTGATTTCAGGACAGCATGTCGCTCTGCGAGCAGTCATCATCGAGCAAGAATTATTTCTGCTAAGTAAAACTCGTCTGACCTCGTCTGACATGAATTGGCGTTCGATCACACTCAACCCTGCATTGTAGTCGCAGGCTTGAAGTCAAACATTTTCAACCCAAGGCAATGAGGTTAGGCAGTTGCCGGAACACCAGGTTCATGACTGGAAGCCGTCGAACTTCAGCAGAGATCAAGGAATAAAGGCAGTGACAGGTAGGCAAATCGATAGGTTCCGTTTGTCTGGCCTACGTAATCGAAAGGGCAGTTTAAGCCTGGAGTGTGATCTGCTGCAAAGAAACGTTCACTGGGGATTTAGTAAGTCGTTCATCGGCATCATAAACTCGTGCATGGTGGATGTGGACGGGTGTATACGATGTCCGCAGTGTGTCGAGTCGCTTCTGAATCATTGTTAATGTGTGGCTTTGTGAGTCATATTCTTGGATAGTCTTCAGGATTAATCATTCGGTCGTCGACACGAAAATACATATCCGGACCAACTTCCTGAGGCAATAAAACTTTATACCTAATTTTAAAAGAGTAATAACGTTTCCGTTTATCCGACTAAGGTTATTACTTCTGGTTAAAAGTTCTCGCCATGTTCGGAAACATTTCAGGACTTTTATTTCCCTTATGTCAGTCAGCAACAGACGTTGGATGATCGTTGCAGGTTCTTCTCCTCTCGTCACCTTGTCGGCCGGCTGGACAAATAACAAGAGCCTACTATGGTCGCATAGTATGGTGGTACCGGCGCAAAAGACTACTGCCACTTAAGACTATGTAGGCGGTGTTGTGGGCTGCAGTGCAGAAAGCGGCCTACGCCTGATTCTTGCTCGGTCATCTCGACTTTGTCTCGTCACCGGTTCAGGCGGGGAGAGGGTTTAGATTGTGGTAGATGTCTGCTCGTCTACTTTCCCCATACCTTACTAAAGTCACCATCCCTGCTCTTGGGCATATGGTGGATATCATCGATTTCGATGGTCGAACCATCATAATGGTCGCATCTGCGGCACTTCGGTGATCTCATGACCTCTACGTCCCCCTCCTCGTTGCTATCGTTAGTACAATTACCACCTACTGACTCGTGTAATTTGGCATCGTCACAGAACCGGGATACTATTCCCGAGGAAATAATTCGACATGCAGTTATACTATTCGCAATGAGATGTCCGCTTTTCGCCTGCAATAATAAACACGATCTGTAGGATACGAAACAGTCTATCCAAGAACCTGAGATAGGAGGATCCCAACTGAACCAGTAAATAAGAACAAAGTCGTTTGCAGATAAAAGTACGTACTTGTTAAACGTCTTATTTAAAAGTTTTCAAGTTATTTCAAGGCATATTTAACCGAACAAAAAAAAGAGGCAATTCAATGTCACTATAGGCGTTCGCCTACCTTTCCCTTGATGAAAATGGACTGAACTGAAGCCCTAACCGGAATAAACGGGACTATTTTCGGAAAAAAATGAACGCTATCACTGCACTCGTCATCATATACGTCTACTTTTACTTCATTTAGTATAAAATTCCGGACTATATGATGTGTCTGAAATGTTGGGAAATATTTATTTTCACTTTTAATCAACTACGAACCCACCACAACCATCACATTCACAGGGCCAGATTCGATTATTTTATTAGTGAACTGCAGACACTCCCTGGATGCTTAATTCTGTACAGATTACTGAAAGGTTATTGCAGTAATCAGTGCGTGTTGGCTGCAAGCCAACGGCGTTTGCCACGCGGCCAGAGACCGGAGTGGGTGCCAGACTTATGGGAGCTTAGGTAAGAGGCAGAGGGAAGCAACGCATCCGTTGGATGACACCCCTGATTGACTTTTCTTGCTAAGTTAGCGTTCGCTCGAAGTGGTAATCTCTGGAGACATGCCGTGCCAAGCCACGGAGGTCAGTTGCACTGACAGAAAGTTCGGCATGAGAGCCCACAGGCAGAAATTATTAATAAATTAGGATGTTGTGGGTTCTTCGTCATTTTACAGCAGCTGCCTCCTGATTGTGCCCGCGTTTGCTACTGTGAACCTGCAGAAACAAGATTTGAATGGTTGACACAGAAATAGGCGTTG